CCCACACTACCAACATATCACCACTACCACCACCCCCACACTCCCACACCAACACCGCCCACCCACCCTCGCCACCACCGCCTTGGAAGGGAGGAAGGGAGGGATCACTATCTTATCTCAGCACAGATCATAGGTGTCGTTATCTCACCTCCATCACCTGAGTCCTCATTAGTCTTCCTCATGACGCTGGTAGGCAGGTGAGGGGCCGCGCCTCTCACTTAAGTGGTGTGTACCTTTCACTTAAGTGGTGCCTCTCACTTAAGTGGTGCCTTGCTTTTGAAAGACTCTAAGACATCTGTCGCTTGAGATCACAACAGACGCCATAAACTTCTAAAAAAGCGTTAATCTTGTTCCAATATTCTTTTATAATTCACTAAAATAATAATACTATCTTAATATTTATTTCTGGAGTGATTTTGCATATTTTTAGGCCATGTTAACGAGGAGCTTGGGGTAATTTCTTCCAATATTTAGCGTTTTTCTGGAGCTTTCAAGTCTCTCTCTCTCTCTCTCTCTCTCTCTCTCTCTCTCTCTCTCTCTCTCTCTCTCTCTCTCTCTCTCTCTCTCTCTCTCTCTCTCTCTCTCTAACATGTAAACACTTTGATCATTCTCAAGTATCTCCATTAACTGTTGTCGTTTTCCTTTGCAGTCGTTCTTCGGTCGCACCTACAACAACCTGTCGTCCCTCAACGAGTGTAAGAACAGCGGCCGGTGCGTCATCAACAAGAAGACTCGGACGTCGTGTAAGAGCTGTCGTCTCCGCAAGTGTCTGATGGTGGGTATGTCGAAGAGCGGGTCGAGGTACGGCCGCCGCTCTAACTGGTTCAAGATCCATTACCTAATGCAGGGAAACACCACCACCAGCAGCGCCTCCGTCACCGCCACCACCAGTAGTAGCAGCGACATGATCTTCACCTCCGAGCAAAGCACAACAACCACGGCCTCCAACCCGACCTCTCCCAGTCTTCTTAGTCCCTCACCTGACGGCAAGACCCTCAGTCCAGACTTTAGGGACTTCAAAGACTTCAAACTCAGTCCTGATTTCAAGCTCAGCCCGGAGTTCAAAATTGGTTCCGATTTTAAGTCGAGTTTTGAGTGCAAGGGTCTGAACTCACCCACGCCCTCGTCGTCAGAGTCTCACAACTCAGACTCTTCCCTGGAGCTGAATGAAAAGTCGTTGTTCCCGCCCTACCCGGAGCACCTCTACCCGAAGGAGCTGCTGGCGCTGTATAACTTGCCGACGCTGACGCCCCACCTGCCGCCCTACGTGGCCCCAACCTCCCTCGCACACCGCTACCTCTACCCGTACTACCCGTCACTTCTCTCAGTCTACTCGCGCCGCCAATATCTCGACTCTCTCCTGCAGAAGGCGCGGCAGAACGAGGCCTCGACGCCACCCGTCGAAGTCGAGGACGAACCAAGGGATTTGGCTGCCTCTCCTAACCGGGAGTTCCCTCCGCCACCCAAGTTCTTCAAGCCTAACTCCACACGTCCCCACCCCGACCTGAGAGTAGCGGTGAGGAACACGTCCAACCGGTCGCCGGTGCGGGGAATATTACCTCTCCGTCAGGAGCTGCCGGTGCTGGACATACCACCTGGATACAACCCCGGCCACGACCTCACGCCGAGAGGGAGTCCCGAAATCGTTCCCATTGCCGCCACGGCCCCTCAGGACCTACCAATAGACCTTAGCGTTAAGAACAAGTCGCCGAGTCCTCCTCGATTAGTCTCTGACGACGAGAGGTCAGCCTCGAACAGTCCACACGGTACTGACGACGAGGAAAGAGAGGAGAAGGAGGAGGAAGACGAGGATGAAGGAAGAAAGAGTAAAGAAGAACAGGAGGCACCCCTGGATCTGAGTGCAGCGAGAACCGGGTAGTTGTGTGGCGAGTGCCAGGCACCCTGCCCTGTAGCTGGTGAGTGGCCACTGCTAATGAGTACCAGTACTATTGAGTGCCGTTACTAATGAGTGCCACTATTAATGTGTGTCACTGCTCATGGATGCTACTGTTATGAGCGTCACTACCTCTGAGTGCCACTGCTAATGAGTGGCACTGTTAATGAGTGCTGCTGCTAATGGGTTGTACTACTCATGAGTGACAGTACTGACACTCGGGTGAACAGGGCAATAGTACCATTCTTCTCTCTCTCTCAGTGTCACACAGTGTCGGACCGTAACCGTGTCACTCAGTGCTACGACACACAGGACCAGAACCTAGCAATGCTAAACAGGGCCACACTTATCCCAACAGTGCCACATAGAACCTGACCCAAGCAGTGCCAAACGGGGCCAGACCCTAGCAGTGCCACACAGAGCCAGACTCGAGCAGTGCCAAACAGGGCCAGACTCGAGCAGTGCCAAACAGGGCCACACAGACCCCAGCAGTGAGTCACTCATCCCTCACCCGGGAGATCTCTTGGAAAATAATAGTGAAATAATTTTGGTAACAAATTCCTGAAGTGCCATAGAAAGTACAAGTTTTCATTTATTATGTTTATATAAAGATATATACAATATATATATATATATATATATATATATATATATATATATATATATATATATATATATATATATATATATATATATATATATATATATGCAACATTATTTTGGTATCATAAATAAAGTTACAGTGTTAACCTTCCACTAAGTGAGAGCCTCTCATTAGTCATTGCAGGAACGACAAGTCTGGACCAATCACAGAACAGTCTCTAGGCTGTGATGGAATAATGAACAGCCAATCAGAATCCAGCTCCAATTCCTTCCTGTAGACCAGTGTGTGTGTAGGTCACCTTAAGCCCTGATTCTCAAGTGTAATGATGACGTCACCTAGCAGGGGACGGTAGCGACGGGTGAGGGCTGACAGGGGCTACACGGACCCGTCCTCTGTCTCAGTGCGCTACGTGTGGATAAAGATACAAACATATATATCAAATATAAAGAAAGAGAGAAAATTGGTGGCCGATGTTTGTTTACCTGAGAGACGTGTCGTAGGGGGGACTGAGGAAATAAACTCTTAAAAAACAAAATAAAAAACTACAATCTCTCTCATTCACACACACACACACACACACACACACACACACACACACACACACACACACACACACACACACACACACACACACACACACACACACACACACATACATACACGCACACACGCACACATGGGAGCGCGGGAGGTGTGTGCAGATGTGTAGAGTTGTGTGTAGGTGTGTACAGGTATGATGGAGGTGTGTGTGGGATGTGTGTGGAGGTGTGTACAGGTATGATGGGGTGTGTGTGTAGGTGTGTGGATGTGTGTGGAGGTGTGTACAGGTATGATGGAGGTGTGTGTAGGTGTGGATGTGTATGTGTGGGTGTGTGCAGGTATGATGTGAGGTGTGTGTGGATGTGTGTGGGAGTGTGTACAGGTATGATGGAGGTGTGTGTAGTGTGTGTGGATGTGTGTGAGGTGTGTACAGGTATGATGGAGGTGTGTGGGTGTGTGGATGTGTGTGGGAGGTGTACAGGTATGATGGAGGTGTGTGTAGGTGTGTGGATGTGTGTGGAGGTGTGTACAGGTATGATGGAGGTGTGTGAAGGTGTATGGAGGAGTGTGGATGTGTGTGGATGCTTATGGAGGTGTGTACAGGTATGATGGAGGTGTGTGGAGGTGTGTACAGGTATGATGGAGGTGTGTGGAAATATGCGAAGGTGTGTGGATGCGGTAGACACACCCTCTCCTCACCTAACAGCCCTCAACATCAGGTCTCCCTCAACACTGTAAGCTCAGGACACATCATTACCACCTCACAGCTAGCGGGGTGTGGCACAGTTTCGACACGTGGCTCAGAGCTGCATGGCGCCTCTGTCAGCATAACGACATAGAGTAACCAATTATCTCAACATTCCAGTATTTTTTTTTTGTACATATATATATTTTACATCAAAAAATAAATGTACAGCTGTATTGTGTATTTGGAGGTTAAGTCAACACCCTCCGGCTTTGCACGTCTCAGCGGCAGGATGGCGTGTCTACCAATCGGAAGGCTCTTGATGACACCATAAGAAAAAGAACCAATAGGATGCCTTCTTTTGATATGGGAGGAGATGACGTTATGAATACGAGCTAATCAGCTGGTTCTTTGAAGAGACGTTTTGACGACGTCATTCTTAAGAACCAATCAAAATACTCTGTGGACATGACTATTGATTACATCACACCATATACGACCAATCACACGGCTCTCTAGATATGAGTATTGAAGACATCACTCCATCTACATACAAGATTTATTTCGTTCTTATGTTATCTATTGTTCTAATTTCTACTCGGAAATGATAACAAGCAGTGGAGGACATAGCTAAGTTACACACACCCACCCCACACACCCCACCCACCCACACACCCACCCACACACCCCACCCACCCACACACCCCACACACACCCACACACCCACCCACACACACACCCCACCCACACACCCACCCCACCCCACACACACCACACCACACCCACCCACACACCCACCCCACACCCACCCCCACACCCACACACCACCCACCCACACCCCACACACCCACCCACCCACCCCACACACACCACACCCACACACCACACCCACCCACACACACCCCCACACACACCCCACCCACCCACACACCCACCCCACCCACCCACACACCCACCCACACACACACCCACCCCACACACACCCCACCCACCCCACACACCCACCCACACCCACCCCACCCACCCACACACACCCACCCACACACACCCCCACACACCCCACACACCCCACACACCACACACACCCCACACACACACCACACCCACCCACACACCCACCCACACACCCACCCACCCACACACCCACCCACCCACCCACCCACCACACCCCACACACCCCCACACACACCCACACACCCCCACACCCCACCCACCCACCCACCCACACACACCCCACCACCCCACACACCCCACCCACCCACACACCCACCCACACACACCCCACACACCACACACCCACCCCACACCCACCACCCACACACCCCACCCACCCACACACACCCACACACACCCACACCCCACACCACACCCACACCCCACCCACACCCACACCCCACCCACACACCCCACCCACCCACACACCCCACCCACCCACACACCCACACCCCACCCACACACACCACACACACCCCACACACACACCACACCCACACACCCACACACCCACCCACACACACCCACACACACCCACACACCCCCCACACACACCACCCACCCACCCACACACCCCACCCACCCACACAGCCACCCACACACCACACCACACCCACCCACACACACCCCACCCACCCACACACACCCACCCCACACACCTCCACCGTTAACTGACTGCTGCTGTAAGATGATGCCATAAGCCTCCCGGTGTATCAGTCTGTAAACAACATATTTATTTTTTAAGAGATGAACTAAATAACTAAATAAAACATGTCGGTGCCATTCTAGTTTGTAAGATTCATTAGAGTAATATAATAAATGATGCAATAGTGAAATTTTAAACGGTCTTTTACTTAACCTTCATTTGTTTTGTTTCTGTAATGTGATTTAGTTTGGGTAGGGAATAAATAATTGAATTCCTCACCATGTTGAAAAATTACCACGAACTCTCCAATTTGTTCCTTTGTAAACATCTTATATATTGCTTGAAATATACCTGAAATATGCCTGAAATATACCTGATATATGCTTGAAATATACCTGAAATATGCCTGGAATATGCTTGAAATATACCTGAAATATGCCTGGAATATGCTTGAAATATACCTGAAATATGCCTGAAATATGCTTGAAATATACCTGAAATATGCCTGAAATATGCTTGAAATATACCTGAAATATGCCTGGAATATGCTTGAAATATACCTGAAATATACCTGATATATGCCCGAAATATACCTGAAGTATGCCTGACACACCTGATATATGCCCGAAATATACCTGAAGTATGCCTGACACACCTGAAATATGCCTGGCACACCTGAAATATGCCTGACACACCTGAAATATGCCTAAAAGTAGCACAGGTACTTCACAAATTTGTTAAAAATAAAAGTGTCTAATATGTTTCAAAAGATGATGATTAAAACTAAAGAAAATAAGTAATTAAAAAAATCCTAGAAAAAATAGTTTCCTATATTAAAAAAATAGGAATTTCTATAATAAAAGCCTAAAAAAGAAAGTACAAGATATAAAAGAAAGTTTCAAAAGGGAAAGTCTTAAAATAGAAAGTATCGCAAAAAATAAAATTATGAAAGTAAAGAATTAAAAAGAAAGTTATGAAGTGTAAAAAAAAGTTTCTAAATGGAAAAAAATGTTAAATTAGAAAAAAATCATAAGAGAGAAAGTTTGACTAAAAAATATTAATCTTAAAGAGAAAGTTAAATCGTAAAAAATAGAAAACACAAAATTAAAAGAATTAAAATAAGAAAATTAACAGTAGGAAAAAAATACGAATAATAAAACAAAAAATTAGAGAAATCAATAAAGTCAAAATTAAAAAAAAGCATTAAATTATAAAGAAAGTAAAAAATAAAGTAAAAATACCACAACAATGAACAAAAGAAAGTCATACAAATCATATAATAAAATATTGTTATGACGAACTACTTCTCCAGTTTGTTTAGGGAAAACTCTGGTCACAAGATGGCGCTGGACATCAGTTAGCCTGGGGTATACAACTGGCTGGTCTTAGTATACAATAGTATGTGGAGCTCTGTGATTGGTCCTGGTCGGGAGGTGGAAGACTCTAGTGTTTCAGAGTCAGTCACTGAGTATAGGCTGTGAAGTGGGCACCTGGTGACTCCTGTCTCCTAAACCATAAGTATCGAGTGTTAGTTTAGGTTACTTTAGGATTTAATGTTCATTTATTATTACTTGTGAGTTTTCTGATTTCTTTTGTGTTGTATAAAGTTCCGTCATCAGCTTTAGTTATACTTTTGTAAATAAATAGTAAGTTTGAACTGTTAAGGTTATTTGCCTTATTAATCAGGTTAAAGAATTTGTTTTGGGAGGGGTGGGTTAAAAAAAAATCTATTTGTATCGTAACAATATTCTCAAGAGTCGTCAAATTTAAAAAATTCCCCCCAAAAAATTATTCCATAAAAATCATTAAATTTAAATAAATAAAGTAAAATGCTGGACTCCAGCAAAAAGGTTCAGTACTGTTGACCGTCTTAGTATAGGCTGGAGCGATGGTCGACTTGTACTGTAAGACATTGTAAGTAACTCTCTCTCATACAAGAAACATCACATCACAGCACATCACATCACCTCACCTCACAGCACATCACATCACAGCACATCACATCACCTCATCCCGAATACAACCTTCCCCGTGTGGCGTTCTTCACCTTCCCGGTATGGTAGACAATGGGGAGAATGTAACCCGTATATAAACCCCTCTTATGTACCGATGATGGGTCAGATACAGGTGGGTATAGG